GAGCAGCCTGGGGTCCTTCCACGTGCAGAGGGTGACAACCACAGAAGCTCCATGGGGAAGCCCCTACTCAGTTCAGTAGTATATTCTCAGATCACCTCCTGGTTCTCAACCCTATTGCTACCCAACCAACCCACTTCCCATCATGAACTAACGGTGGGGCGCTCTCTGATGTTTGCTGATGTTAGGATATTTATCTTTGTCCTAAATTCCCTCAACATAAAACACCGAGAACTGAGTTGCTTAAGTTTAGAATATTCTCAATTACTCTTGTCTTCTGGATATCCTTAATTCAAGCTTACTGGTGTGCTTGACTTTTCAAGCTACCTGTGTTTATATACTAGAGCCAACACCCAGGTATCTACTGGAGGGGACAACATATTTATAAGCTAAATAGCTATCCAGGCCCCTCATCATACTCTCATAGATGCTATAAGCCCTGAGCATCCCTGATATGAGGGATAAGCTGAAGAACTGTGTTCCTGCACACAATAGAGGCACTCAACAGGAATATTTGAAATGAGTGGATGATTGTAAAACCTTTTAACCAGGAGAACAGAGGAGAGTCATGACTTTGTACGATCACCAAGCTACTCAGAGACCAAGACACTTATTATTGTCCACGCTGTGTCTATTAGGCCCCCTGATGGCCAATAGCAGGTGTCTTCTCATAGGCTTTACTGTTGTAGCTTTTGTGTGTCTGTGAATATTTCAATCTGAGAGACCTTATGGAGGCTGGCCTGTGATCTGTGTCACTTCTGGGTAGAAGCAGATAAGGGCAGTTGCACTGTCTGAAACGCCCTTTTCTCCGCTGCCATGGTGGGCCCAGCAGCATTGGTACTTATAACATGTTGCATAACCCAGCATTCCTGAAACCTGAGCAAATGCAGGGGAAATAGCTGCTCTTGAAGATCACTTGGATGGATCTTTCTGGACCTTGAGTGAGATTTGGAGGTTGTCACTGCAGCATACGTACCCCATGTTTCCTGCATAAATTTTGAATATTAACCTACTTTCAGTTACCTAAGCAATATAGTCTCTCTCAGGCTGCCTGACTCAAACAACCTTTACTCACAAGGGCCCTCCCTACCTGAGCAAAACGGTACTTTTCATATTTGTTTCACAAGAAGACAATGAAAAAATGAAAAAGTTGAGTGAATGAAATCCTGATTTCCTATTTGTAAGTCTGTTTGTACGGTTGAATAAAGTGTTTTCAGGACATTCCCAGGCCCATTGTCCTGAGGAAATAGCACTGTGACCCCACTGCTACCCTCCCTGCACTTTTACTGATTCCCTGAGTGCTTCATTTCACATGTAAGTGGCTGGGGTCAGGGCAAGGCCAAAGGTCAGATGACAACTTCAGGCGGAAGGAATGCTTTCTGTTATCAGAAGGCTGGATCAGGGCACAAAGGGGAGGGTACAAGCGCTGCTGGTCTTTGAGCAAGACCAGGACTCCTGGCCCTGGCCACAGAGGGCCTGAGAGGATAGGAAGAGGATGAGTGTCAGGGCCAGCCTGACAGGGTTGAGCCGGGCTGAGGCAGGGAGGTGGGAATTGAGAAAAGAAAGAAAGACAGAACAGCGGGATTGGGAGGACTCCAGTTCTCTTGATGAACTGAAGCGAGTTTATTAGTCATGCAATCTTATTTATACACAACACACTGAATAGGAGGTCTGGCAAGAGGAATGTATTCTTTGTTCCTCTTAATCTCTAAGGGAGAGACATAGCAGAAGGACAAGTTCTCAGTACAGCATTTCTGAGTAAATAGTTACAGACTTCTTGGTAAGCTATGAAAGGCTGTTCTCATTCTACAAATGTTGCTCTCATGCTACTGATAATCGCCATCCAAACAAGTCTGGGAAAACTGTGTGGGTAAGGGTCCCAGCCTTGCTAGCCCTTCAGGTGCAAGGACCTTGCCAGCGTACATCTAGCCCCCAACAGATGAGAGGGATTTAAGTTCTCTAAAGACTCAGTTTCTAAAAAGAGTGAGGCCGGGAGGACCTCAGCAGGGTGTCTTATGATGGAATAAATAACTTAAAACAGTCAGAAAAATTACTTTAAGTGCAATGAGAATGGACTTGGTCCTCTTATGTCAAAAGGTTTTATAAAACTAACATAATTGTGATAGTGTGTTACTAACACAGGAACAGATGGGCCAAATGTAAAGGCCACCAAAACCAGCCTCTTGTATGTCTATACGTATACGTCCTATATGCAGAAGAATAGATTACCCAGATTATAGGGAAATGATGAATGGTTCAATTAATAATTCTCAGTTAAATGGGTAAGCATTTAGAGGAAAAATAAATCAATTTTTTTACTTACATAAAAAATTTTAAATCTGACTTAAAATATAAAACTTCTCTGCTAAAAAGTAAACAATGTAAGATTAAAATTGAAATGCTTATTAATCTGCAAAGTATATAATTCTTAGTAGTAATTAAAGAAGCTCAAATTAAACGGCAATAAGCATCCAAAACTTTATGGACTAGAGTTCAAGCTATACTCAGAAGAAAATGTACTTTACTTTCATTATTAAAAATTCCAAAATAAAAGCATGGACATTGAATGTGCTGTTAGGCCATCTCTGAAGCATCTATCCATCTTCCATCTCAGACCATGGGTGCTTCCGCCTCTGGACTCCTCAGACCCCTTCCACATGGAGCATCCTAAATGTACCCCACCTTTCCTGGTCCCTGCCCTTGGGATGCTTGGGAACCAAACCTCATGTA